GATGTTGCGGGGCATGTTGCTTAGCGGTGGCATTGTTGGGTCTCGTGCTAGCCATGCGTTCCTCGTTGGCTCCGAGTGGCCAAGCACCAACCTTCCATTTTTAAAAATAAATAAAAAATAATGTGCTTGGTTTTATTGTTGCCTCGGTTTTGATCGGTCCCTGTTGCTTTTGATGTCGCGTCTAGCGGTGCATGCTCGACTTCGCTTTGATGTTCCATGATCTGTTTGGTTCATGCAAACTGTGGGTTGTGGTTTTGTCGGGCGTAGTTGTGGCATAGTGTACGTGAAGGCGCGTGGGTGGCGGGACGGATTGTATGGGTGGTTGGATCCTTGCTTGCGCAACGACAAGCCCTCCGTGCAATCCTCTTCAGTGTCGCTTCGAATTCGTTCTAGTATTGGGTGCGGCCGGTTTTCCTTTGTTGTGTACCGACAATGAAGGTATTCGATTCTCGCAAATGTCCCTATTTTGTCCTGTGCGCTTGTACGGCATGGGACGAACCGTAAACGAATGCCCTGTGATCCTTGCACATCTATCGCCCAGGCGTGTGGCGTGCACGGCTCATGGGGCAGTGCCTGAATGCTGGGATACGGAAGCTTATGTGGGGAAATGGGGTCTTCGACCCGTGTTTTATCTTGACGAAGCAATCTTTGCTTGGTACGATATTTTTGCATATATAAAGCCCCGCATCCTTGTGGTTAGGTCAAGAGAGAACTTTTAGATCTCGATCTAATAACAACAATGCATGCATCACAACTATTGATTACAATTATTTTATTCTTTGTTCTTCTCTTTCTTTCATCGAATACGATTTACTACTCTTTCTTGTTACTAGACGACTAACCAATTCCTTCAAATAAAAAAAAAAATCCACAAAAACCGACTCTACAACTACGAAAAGGGATTTCTAGATCTCCGCATCTACTTAAAATTGTGGGATATAATAATCTCCTTCATGAATTATTAGAGAAACCAACTTGTCAGATTCACATTTTACCTGATCCTCTAACAAGTAAAGGAAGAAAGAAATTATTTAGCACTTCCTTTCGATACTGATTGAAATTGCGTTGCTGTGTCAGAAGAAGGATAGCTATACTGATTCGGTATACTCTAAAGAAGATGCCCTCGGTACTATATTGATGATCTCACAAAGAATGAATTTCAGTGAATTTCCATTTACTGATCTTCTCTTTCGCGGAATCGATCCCCCTTTGACTGTACAAGAATATGTGGAGCTCAGCATGTCTGGAAGCACAGGAGAACGTTCTTTTGCTGATATTATTACCAGTATTCGCTACTGGGTTATTCATAGCATTACTATACCTTCCTTATTCATTGCGGGTTGGTATTCGTCAGCACCGGTTTAGCTTATGATGTGTTTGGAAGCCCTCGGCCAAACGAGTATTTCACAGAGAGCCGACAAGGAATTCCATTAATAACTGGGCGTTTTGATTCTTTGGAACAACTTGATGAATTAGTAGATCTTTTTAGGAGGCTCCAATGACCATAGATCGAACCTATCCAATTTTTACAGTGCGATGGTTGGCTGTTCACGGCCTAGCTGTACCTACCGTTTCTTTTTTTGGGATCAATATCAGCAAGCAGTTCATCCAACGATAAACCTAATCCGAATTATAGAACTATGACACAATCAAACCCGAACGAAACAAAATGTTGAATTGAATCGTACTAGCCTATACTGGGGATTATTACTCATTTTTGTACTTGCTGTTTTATTTTCCAATTATTTCTTCAATTAAATTAAAATTAAAGAAAACGAGAAGAGAATAAAAATTCTAGGCATTCTCTTAGCCCATTCGGAAGGATCTCATCTCATAATTATCCATGACTGTTTATGTCTCTAGCACATGACCACTTGATGAAATGTGGAGGGAAGTGGGGTAAATGGCCGATACGACTGGAAGGATTCCTCTTTGGATAATAGGTACTGTAACTGGTATTCTTGTGATCGGTTTAATAGGTATTTTCTTTTATGGTTCATATTCCGGATTGGGTTCATCCCTGTAGTAATCGGATGAATTGAGTTGTAGACATGAAAGCATAAGAACTCAACGGGATCTTCCCCTCGAATCAGACAAAGAAAGAAGGGGATCCTGTTGAGTTCTTAACTTAAGAATCAGAATCTTTTTTTTCGTCTAAATAACACAACGGGTTTCTTTGTCTGCTGTTTCAAAAAATTCCATTTTTTTCTGATGATGTTTTTGAAAAATTAACTTCATTGATCGATTCAGAACATCTGTTCCTCGATAGTATCTATCGATACTTTCAAAATTAGAAGAAAGAAGGAATCACTCGATTTCATCGATGACAGAATATATATTTCTGTAGATTAGATATCATGCAAATCTTTTCTATACTAATGGAACCTTACTTTTTAGTATCTTAATTAAATTTTTTTTTAATTCATTGAAGAGGTTCTAGTTACTCAAAAAATTTCCCTCTCTTTTTTTGTTTGTCCAACACGTATTATACTATAAGTAATGCATATAAGGGGGTAAGGGGGTTCTGATACATCTGGAAAAAACGAAACTAAGACTAGGAATCTTTGACGAGCAGGATCAAGAATCATTATTATTATTATTTCGACACAAGAAAAGGCATTTTTCACACCCCCTTTTTTCTTGTGTCGAAGACTAGGAAGACGAATAATCGCTCCTAGAATTATTTTCCCCGCATTTATCCGTTTATTTCCCGCTCACTTATTCTACTATCTAGTCTAATTGAATTATATTAGAATAAAAAACTATTGATGCTTTTTATGACATTTAAATCTGGCAATAATAACATAGTCACACCACCCCAATTTGGATAAAAAAACAACGAAAGAATGGGTAAAGTCAAATAGTCGTCTTCACAATCTACATACTATGACTAGGAATCCGGTACAAAAAATTCCCGGCATCTCGTAGAAAAAGAGTATAAACCAAGCAAAATGCTTTTCATAATTTCATTTTTTTTTTGATCATACATAATCGTCAAAAAGAATTTGGTTCTTTTTACGAGTTTGATGTCGATAAATCCGCGAATCTAGAAATTCATTTCGGACAATTGAACCTTCTCGAACTGTTTCTTTTTAAGAACCAAAAAGATTTGTGCCAAAATAACAGATGCCAAGAAGAACAAAAGGCCTTGGACACGTAATGGATCTTGGAGTACTATTTCTGCATCTCCCTGACCAAATCCCCCCACATTAGGATTACTTGTTAATGGTTGATCAAATTTGATAGATTCGCCTTCTGAAACAAGAAGTTCTGGTCCTGGAGGGATAATATCAACCACTTGACGTCCATCCGATGCATCCGTTATGGTTATTTCGTACCCTCCTTTTTCTTTTCGTATGATTCTGCTTACTATACCTGCTGCTGTAGCATTATAAACTGTATTGTTACTCTTGCTCCCGTCAGGATAAATCTGCCCCCTTCCCCTGTTTCCGCCTACGTATATAGGATATTTTAAGAAGTGAACATCTTTCTTAGTAGCGGGGTCCGGGGAAAGAATAGGAAAGATAATTTCACTATATTTCTGACCAGGAACAGGGCCCTATCACAAGAATATTTTTTTTATTGGGGCGATAGCTCTGAAAAAATAGATTGCCTATCTTTTCTTTCATCTCGGGAGAAATACGATCGGGAGGAGCTAATTCAAACCCCTCCGGTAAAATAAGAACAGCCCCTACATTCAAAGCCCCCTTTTTACCATTAGCAAGAGTTTGTTTCAGTTGCATATCATAAGGAATTCGAACAACTGCTTCAAATACAGTATCAGGAAGTACCGCTTGTGGAACCTCAATATCGACGGGCTTATTAGCTAAATGACAATTTGCACATACAATACGCCCAGTCGCTTCTCGTGGATTTTCATAACCTTGCTGTGCAAAAATGGGATATGCACTTGAAATGGATGTCCGAGTTATTATATATATCATGAGCGATACGGAAATGGATCGAGTAATCTGTTCCTTTATCCAAGAAAAATTATTTCTAGCTTGCATGGTCCAATCATTGATCTCAAAAATTTCTACACAATAAATTGGGTAGGTTGCTAGTATAGTTCCCTATCCACGATTCTGCTATGTACTGGAAAAATATATAGGATGAATCTCCAGGATGAGTAGAGTAAGTGCGATTTTCAATATTTTGCTTATGTACAACTACAAAGTAACAAACATTACAATTGGATTAATATTGGTGGATCATTTTTCAGTCATTCATTGAATGATAAATCACTACAAGCGACGGAGATACACGATTTAAATCACGGAAAATCCAATATTTTAAAATTGTATCTAGAATGACTGGAAAAGTAGAAACAAGACCAGATATAATTTGATCATTATGAACAAACCCAAAATCTTTGTAGACAGATCCAATCATTAGTTCCCAACCATGGGGCGAATGGAATCCGATACATAAATCGGTTAATAAAAGAATAGAAAAAGCTTTTAGTGTGTCGCTTAGTTATATAGGAATTCCTGGGCCCAAGAGTTAAGAATAACAAGTTCTTCATTACCCCAAATAGAATAACCGCTTAAAATAACGAAACAGATTATATTTGTCGAGAAGTGCAAAATCGTATGGATACGATCTTCGTTGTGTATCTTGATTAATTGGATCGTTTCTTTATGGATTCCTATACGAAGTTTTTGTAGATGGGTCTCTGAGTATTCCTTGATCATTTCGTCCAAGAGGAGGAGTTTCCTCTAATTCTATGAATTTTTCTAGAATACTCTTTTCTTGAATATCATTCAAAAAGGTTTCGGATTGCCCAGTATTCCACCAATTAGTGACCCAAGATTCCAGACTTTTATTAAATGAGAGAGAAATCCACCAGGGCAAACATACTATAGATGCAAGATATAAAGAGGAGTGAATGCTTTCTTTTTTGCCATTTTTTCATCTGTGAATTGTTAATGAACCCACCTCATTCGTCGACTATATGCGATCTAATATTTCTCTCACGCATGAGTTCTATTACAAGGTATCGAACCTATGAATCTATTCAATGTTTTTTATTTGTGATTTGGTGGTTAGTCCTTGAATATAGAAAGAATACAGAAATAGACTAAGAATACACTTTAAATTGGAATGAAGAAATAAAAAAAATAGGGTTTCCAGATATCTCAATTGGTCAAATTCGAAGCAAGTGTCTTGTCTCCTTTCAATGAATGCTCGAAAGAACCATTTTTTTTTTTTTAAGTAATGAATATTATTCAGATTTTGATACGAAAGAACTCCTTTTCTATCATTCTATCAAAATATCCAATATTTCGCAAAAATTTCACTTACTATGAGTAGTCAGGAATAGAATATTGAGGGAAATTTCTGAAGAATATTATGATGATCAAAAATGAGTGGCAAAACAAGACAGAAATTTGCTAGTTATCGTTAGAAGAGAGCCAATTGTTGAGCATAAAAGAAAGTCTAAAAAGAAAGGTCGATTGACAAAAAAGAAATAATTTACAAGATATGATCTATCTGAATCTAAAGTATCAATTCCAACAAACACATATTGGACTTCAAAAAAAGAAAAATTTCTTTATTTCTAAATGGTTTGATATATGAAATGAATCTATTATTTTGATTTGTTACGTATTTTTTTATTTTATTGAATTGAGTTGTGTGGATTTCGATACGTATAAAAGATCACAAAAAGAGTTTCGTTTTATGGTTGTTCCGTATATGTCTCTTTGGTTCGAATGAGCGTTTTGAAGAAAGTTCAGTTAAGTTTAAGTTATGTTATAGAAAAAAGAGGATTCTTGAGTTTTTCCCTCCTGCTGAAAAAGCATTCATTCTTCAGTTCATTTTCATTTCTCAAAATACTTCAATTGGGACACGCAAGAAATATGCTAATTCAGCAGCTTTTTGCTCAATTTCTCGTGGAGTAAAATTCTCATCAGTACGAGTCAAGGGGATGGCCCCCTGGCCTCTGATGTCCATATAAAGGACACGACGAGCATAAATACCCTCTTTAACTTCTATTCTGACAGACTGAATATCTTTTATAAGGAATCGGAGGAAGATGCGACGATTTTTTCCAGGAAATCCCCAACGAAAAATACACACTATTCCTTCTTTTCTATCGAAGCGATCATAACCACTACCTACATTCCACGAAATTGTGCACCACAAATAGGAGCTAATAAAAAGACCGGCGATCCCATAGAAAGACATCACGATCCCTTGTGGAAAAAAAAGAATTTGCTGAGACGGAAATAAAGATATCAAATTTCTACCAAGATAACTAGAAGTTCCAACCAATAAGAATCCTAATGAACCTAAAAAAAGGATAATGGCCCACCAGAAATTACTTGCTTTTCGAGACCCCATTATAGGTTCTATCCATATATGTTCTGATCGCCAACTCATACTTGATCCAGTTGTATTTTATTGAAATTGAGAAAAGACCCCAAATGAATTTGACTTTACTCTTTTTGTTTCCGAAGTAACTCTCATCAACTAGCACTAGTTTGATGTGAACCTTTAGGAGTCATTCATCAAATTGGTTAGATCTAAAATCTAAAATAATAACAGACCTTTCATATGATCCTACTATAGATATCGACATACATCTAGATACGCTGACTTTACATTTCAGCCATCCGGCGATCCTGATCTATTTGAAAATAGCTAAAAGTCATTTACCCATATAGCATTTTCTGCAGGCATAAGAGCTTTTCTTTTATGTTCGGTTTTATGTTCGGTGGAAGCCACATGTTATATCATATTCCACGAAATAGATATCTGTGTTATGATACAAGTCTAAGTTTGAAAAAAAAAAATGGATGAGATTGGATCCCATCGGATCTACACAATCTTGTTTTTTTGAACATGAAGAAATAAAGAAGCCATTGCAATTGCCGGAAATACTAGGCCTATTAAAGGCACAAAAATAGAGGGAAGGTTGAGAGTTATCATAGAATGGGTACCTCGATTTACTATTTTATTTTTACCTGTTTTTATTATTTAAAATGATAAAGATATCTTATAATAATTATAATTAAGAATTGGAAATTCCAATTCTTAATTATAATTATTATAAGATATCTTTATCATTTTAAATAATAAAAACAGGTAAAAATAAAATAGTAAATCGAGGTACCCATTCTATGATAACTCTCAACCTTCCCTCTATTTTTGTGCCTTTAATAGGCCTAGTATTTCCGGCAATTGCAATGGCTTCTTTATTTCTTCATGTTCAAAAAAACAAGATTGTGTAGATCCGATGGGATCCAATCTCATCCATTTTTTTTTTTTCAAACTTAGACTTGTATCATAACACAGATATCTATTTCGTGGAATATGATATAACATGTGGCTTCCACCGAACATAAAACCGAACATAAAAGAAAAGCTCTTATGCCTGCAGAAAATGCTATATGGGTAAATGACTTTTAGCTATTTTCAAATAGATCAGGATCGCCGGATGGCTGAAATGTAAAGTCAGCGTATCTAGATGTATGTCGATATCTATAGTAGGATCATATGAAAGGTCTGTTATTATTTTAGATTTTAGATCTAACCAATTTGATGAATGACTCCTAAAGGTTCACATCAAACTAGTGCTAGTTGATGAGAGTTACTTCGGAAACAAAAAGAGTAAAGTCAAATTCATTTGGGGTCTTTTCTCAATTTCAATAAAATACAACTGGATCAAGTATGAGTTGGCGATCAGAACATATATGGATAGAACCTATAATGGGGTCTCGAAAAGCAAGTAATTTCTGGTGGGCCATTATCCTTTTTTTAGGTTCATTAGGATTCTTATTGGTTGGAACTTCTAGTTATCTTGGTAGAAATTTGATATCTTTATTTCCGTCTCAGCAAATTCTTTTTTTTCCACAAGGGATCGTGATGTCTTTCTATGGGATCGCCGGTCTTTTTATTAGCTCCTATTTGTGGTGCACAATTTCGTGGAATGTAGGTAGTGGTTATGATCGCTTCGATAGAAAAGAAGGAATAGTGTGTATTTTTCGTTGGGGATTTCCTGGAAAAAATCGTCGCATCTTCCTCCGATTCCTTATAAAAGATATTCAGTCTGTCAGAATAGAAGTTAAAGAGGGTATTTATGCTCGTCGTGTCCTTTATATGGACATCAGAGGCCAGGGGGCCATCCCCTTGACTCGTACTGATGAGAATTTTACTCCACGAGAAATTGAGCAAAAAGCTGCTGAATTAGCATATTTCTTGCGTGTCCCAATTGAAGTATTTTGAGAAATGAAAATGAACTGAAGAATGAATGCTTTTTCAGCAGGAGGGAAAAACTCAAGAATCCTCTTTTTTCTATAACATAACTTAAACTTAACTGAACTTTCTTCAAAACGCTCATTCGAACCAAAGAGACATATACGGAACAACCATAAAACGAAACTCTTTTTGTGATCTTTTATACGTATCGAAATCCACACAACTCAATTCAATAAAATAAAAAAATACGTAACAAATCAAAATAATAGATTCATTTCATATATCAAACCATTTAGAAATAAAGAAATTTTTCTTTTTTTTGAAGTCCAATATGTGTTTGTTGGAATTGATACTTTAGATTCAGATAGATCATATCTTGTAAATTATTTCTTTTTTGTCAATCGACCTTTCTTTTTAGACTTTCTTTTATGCTCAACAATTGGCTCTCTTCTAACGATAACTAGCAAATTTCTGTCTTGTTTTGCCACTCATTTTTGATCATCATAATATTCTTCAGAAATTTCCCTCAATATTCTATTCCTGACTACTCATAGTAAGTGAAATTTTTGCGAAATATTGGATATTTTGATAGAATGATAGAAAAGGAGTTCTTTCGTATCAAAATCTGAATAATATTCATTACTTAAAAAAAAAAAATGGTTCTTTCGAGCATTCATTGAAAGGAGACAAGACACTTGCTTCGAATTTGACCAATTGAGATATCTGGAAACCCTATTTTTTTTATTTCTTCATTCCAATTTAAAGTGTATTCTTAGTCTATTTCTGTATTCTTTCTATATTCAAGGACTAACCACCAAATCACAAATAAAAAACATTGAATAGATTCATAGGTTCGATACCTTGTAATAGAACTCATGCGTGAGAGAAATATTAGATCGCATATAGTCGACGAATGAGGTGGGTTCATTAACAATTCACAGATGAAAAAATGGCAAAAAAGAAAGCATTCACTCCTCTTTTATATCTTGCATCTATAGTATGTTTGCCCTGGTGGATTTCTCTCTCATTTAATAAAAGTCTGGAATCTTGGGTCACTAATTGGTGGAATACTGGGCAATCCGAAACCTTTTTGAATGATATTCAAGAAAAGAGTATTCTAGAAAAATTCATAGAATTAGAGGAACTCCTCCTCTTGGACGAAATGATCAAGGAATACTCAGAGACCCATCTACAAAAACTTCGTATAGGAATCCATAAAGAAACGATCCAATTAATCAAGATACACAACGAAGATCGTATCCATACGATTTTGCACTTCTCGACAAATATAATCTGTTTCGTTATTTTAAGCGGTTATTCTATTTGGGGTAATGAAGAACTTGTTATTCTTAACTCTTGGGCCCAGGAATTCCTATATAACTTAAGCGACACACTAAAAGCTTTTTCTATTCTTTTATTAACCGATTTATGTATCGGATTCCATTCGCCCCATGGTTGGGAACTAATGATTGGATCTGTCTACAAAGATTTTGGGTTTGTTCATAATGATCAAATTATATCTGGTCTTGTTTCTACTTTTCCAGTCATTCTAGATACAATTTTAAAATATTT